CTTGGTGCAGAGGTGGGTATTCAGCAAGTTCTGGAGAGCCGATAGCGGAAATTTTGAGTGGTTCAGAGAACTGGCAAATACTGCCTCTGGCTGGCCCCGACCCCATCTATTCCCCGACTCCCACGTCCCAGCTGATTGGCTGGTCTTCTTTTATTGCCCTGCAGAGGAGAGCAGAGCTGGAAAGTAGGTTAGTGGGGTGGGGAGGAAATGGGGAGTTTGTAGTATCTTTCCCCTGCCATGCCCACCAAGCCACACCATGCCCAACAAGACACGCCCGCAGAACCGATAGTAAAAAAAAATTTGAATCCCACCGCTGACTTGGTGGGGTTTGTTGATGGAACAAAGCAGGTTTCTTTTCTTTTTTTTTCCTTAGGAATGTGAGTTTGTGAAGACATGGTGCAGATCAATATTCATTACACCACCAGATCAATCTCGGGGCCGTAGGGAATCTTCATAGGGTTCATTGGACTAAATCGCTCGTTTTACTAAGAGGACATCAAGGCTGGTTCTGTGCGGCAGGAAGAATGAGAGCCGCAGCTCAACGAGGCCAGAAAACGTTCTGCGCCTTCATGGCTATTGATTTATTTGCAGAATAAAGAAAATATTAGCGGGGTGGAAAGATTCCAAGGAGGTAGAAGAAGAGCAAAAAAGAACAGAAAAAGAAAGTGTGTCAGTTCTGAAACGTGGTATGGGAAGGGAAAGACGTGACCTAAATAGTAGGTTTGCAATTACCACCCACCCCCCAAATAAAATGCATTGTTCGTCACTTTCGGTGTTTGAGTAAGAAAATGATAGCAGTATGTTTCAATATCTCAGGGGCTGCCCCAAAGAAAAGGGGCGGTCAAGCAATTCTCCAATGCACCTGAAGGCAGGACAAGACGCAACGGATGGAAACTAATCAAGGAGAGAAGCAACTTAGAACTGAGGAGGAATTTCCCGACAGTTAGAACAATTAACCAGTGGAATAATTTGCCTCTGGAATCGACAGCACCCAGAACATAGATTAAGTCTAAGATTAATATCAGACAAAGGATCAAGTAGACAATAAACCAATCAAGGAACTGCCAAACAAGCCAACAGTACCAACCAGTACCAACTTCTAAGACTACTCGAGAGCAAGCCACTAGAATAGAAACCAAGAGCAAACCCCATTCCCTGTTTGCATTGATGATATTCCCTAGTTGGGTCATAAAAATGTCTGCAAGAAAACCACCAAGCTCAGAGAGCACCAAGGACCCCAGGCCACCACCTCCTCGTCTTCCTCCTCCCCCTCCTCCTCCCTGCAAACCCTCCTCCCTTCTAGCACTGATGATGTTACCTAGTTTAGTGCTGAAATGTCTACAAGAAAGCAAGCAAGTTCAGAGAACACCAAGGACCCCTTATTTCAACCCTGAGCTACAAATATTCTCTTTATTTTTACCATTCTGACCTTCAGATGCCCCCACTGGAGGCCAGTGCTAACAGTTGGTTGGTTCCTTCCTTCCTTCCTTCCTTCCTTCCTTCCTTCCTTCCTTCCTTCCTTCCTTCCTTCCTTCCAATACATGCTTGCATGCATACATACATATATTGCTGTTCTACCTGAACTCTTAGCAACCTTATGATAATTTTGAAACACCGAGAGCGCTCCATCCCCATGAAAAGAGCAAACCCTTAGCAATTTACTCTCGGTCTTACAATAACCCGGTCGCTGCACCGGGTCAGAGCTGATGACCACTATTCCGCTTAACGCCAACTGGCGAAGATGCTGTTTGACATCTGCAGGAAAGGTGGCTCGTGTCACAGCATTTGATTCCGGCAAATGCAGCAATGCATCACCGAGCCCGCTAATGAAACCTCCAGCCGTTTGCTGTCAGCCTAAACTCAATCTGGGAGAAAACGCCGTGTTTGTGTGCAGGGACAATTTCCCCAAGTGTGTCTTTTTCTTCTTCTTCCTCTTCTTTTTTCTTTTTAATCATGTCCTGGATTCATCTGTCTGCCTCTCTGTCTTTTTTTTTTTTTTAATAAAACCAACCGCAACAACCATTTGCTTACACGGTAGCTGAGCTGACACATAATTAAAACAAAGAATCAATGGACTAATGAAATCCATCTGGCTGTTAGCCTTTATTTATTTATTTATTTATTTATCTTGTTCCCGGCTGCTGAGCCAGGTGATGAGAAGTTCCTGACAAGATGGATGGACCATAAGGTTTTGGGCTTGGAAGACTTCTGGATGAGCAATCGGAATCCTATTGGGAATAAAAACCAGGGCAACGTTGCTGTCGATAGGACCATGGAAACGTGTTACTGATTTCTTGAAACCATTTATTGATTGATTGATTTGATTTGTCAATCGCTTACAAGATAATAGGTATAAGTATAAACATGAGTAAGAATACAGGAAATAGGTACAAATAAACGGGGACAATAGGACAGGGGCGGTAGGCACGATGGTGCACTTACGCACGCCCCCTTACAGACCTCTTAGGAACGGGGTGAGGTCGATAGCGGATAGTTTAAGGGTAAAGGAGTGGAGGTTAGAGGATGTAACAACAGAGTTCAAAGGGTTGACCATTCTGTTGCTGAAGTCGTACTTTTTGCAAGCAAGTTTGGAGCAGTTTACATTGAGTTTGTATCGGTTGTGTGCTCTCGTTGAGGTTGAAGCTGAAGTAGTCATTGACTGGTAGGGCATTGTAGCACATAATTTTGTGTACTACGCTTAGGTCCAACCGTAGGCGGCGTAGTTCAAGGTTGTCCAAGCCCAAAATTTCAAGCCTGGAGGCATAAGGTATTCTGTGGCGAGTAGAGGAGTAGAGGACTCTTCTCGTGAAATACTTCTGGACTCTCTCAATTGTGTTAATGTCCGATATACAGTGAGGATTCCAGACAGATGAGCTGTATTCAAGTGTTGGTCTAGCAAAGGTTTTGAATGCCCTAGTTAGCAATTCTATATTATTGAATTCAATATTATTAATGGAAAGGAGAGGAGAGCGGCTATGGTGTGGAGTGTTCTTGGTGGTTCTCAACTGTATAAAAAAAAGATAACCCCACCTTCCACTAACACTGATGATGTTACCTAGTTGGAAAATGAAACACCTGTAAAAAAAACAATGCCCACCCAGTTTAGAGAGCACCAAGGAGCCCACAGTTGAACCCTGAGCTAAAAATATTCCCTTCTACCTGTAGTTTGCACAACATTATGCCACATAAGGAAGATACCAGTTTATTTACACCCCCCCTCAAGCGAACACTTATCTCGGACACATAAGCGGTTATCTTGAACCCACCTAAAGCCTAAAGGCTCTCCGTCCCGACAACCACCGTATTTAGATACTCGAGTGGAGAGAATTCAAACTGTATCTACAATAAAACAGGAAGACAATTGAATTTCCAACCCATTCGATTAAAAAAAAAAAATCAGGTTTCAAGTGAACCAGGTGTGACTTCAGTGGCTGATTACAAATCGAAGGCCTGTTGGAATCTCTCCTCTAATTTAGATATTTATCTCTAATCGCCGCTTTACTTTTCTAAGGACAAAACTTTGGCTGCCTTTTTTTGCTGGTGGTGCGTTTTGTCGTTCAAGAACAGCCTGGCACTTTATGTACTGCAGAGGAAGGGATTTTTTCTTTTCTTTTCTGGTCACGATTTTTGAACCGTGGCGTATTTTAAAAATGATAATATTTTGTGGCACGAAGCCTTTAGAGCCAGAAATTCCCAACCAAATAAGACAATAAAAAGGATACAGGTAATCCTTCACTTAGGACTATAAATGAGCCCAAAATGTCCCTGGCTAATTGAAACAGTGATGAAGCGAATTTTACTCCTGAAATGTATTTGAATATCAGAATTTTAGCTCCATTTTAACACCTTTCTTGCCACCGCTGTTAGGCAAATCACTGCCACTGTTATGTTATCAACACAGTTGTGAGGTAAACCTGGCCTTCCCGTGGATTTTGCTTGTCAGAAGGTCGTAAAAGGAGATCACCTGACCCTCAGGATAAATCTGAGTCAGTGGACAAGAGCCTGGATTTTGTTCACGCGGCCACTGGAAAGCTGCAACAGTTGTAAGCGTGAAAAAAGTCACTTTTTTTTTTCCCAACGCCATTGTAACTTTGAGCGGTCATTAAATGAAACTGCTGTAGCTCAAAGGCTAATCTGTCTTTGGCCTATATTCCAGGCCATGCAATTCGCCTGTTTGGGGAAGCAAGAAGTTCTTTTAGGAGGAAAGTAATTGGAAATGCAAGGTTTGAATAGAATGCAGAATAGATTAGAATTAGAACAGAATAGAATAAGGAATAGAATAGAATAGAATAGGGAATAGAATATGTATATATATGGAAGATGGCTTCATGTTTTTATATATAGGATAGGATAGGATAGGATAGGATAGAAGATAGGATAATATAGAAATAGGAATAGAATAGAATAGAATAGAATAGAATAGAATAGAATAGAATAGAATAGAATAGAAATCTTGGTTGTTCTTCTCTGCACTCTTTCTAGAGTCTTTCTAGAGTCTTTTTTCCATGGTGGTGATCCAAACGGGATGCAATATTCCCAGTATGGTTTTTAGCAAGGCGTTATAAAGTGGGATTAACACTTCACATGATCTTGATTCCATCCCTCTGCTAAAACAGCCTAGAACTGTGTTGGCTTTTTTTGGAAGCTGTAGCACGCGGCTGGTTAAGCAATTGTCCGCTAGGACTCCAAGATCCCTCTCACAGGTTAATTATCCCAACTCTTCTATCAATAAACTGAGATATTACAGGACATCTCCCAACAGTTCAAGAAGATTCCTTCAGTATCCACCAAAAATTGCCCAGGGGTTGCAAATAAGGCAGGTGGGGTTTTATTTTTGTTTTGTTTTGTTTTGGGGGGAGATTCACACTTCCTTAACACTAGCGGCGAAAATATTGGAGCTGTGAACACCGTTGCTTTTTAATTAAATGGCCTCTTTTCTCATGCTTACCTTCACCTTTTGATATAAACGTTGTCTTCAACATCTCCCCTCACCCCTCCAGGCCCTCAAGGGATCCAAGAAGCTGAACCTGACTGTCCATTCGGTGGGTCGCATCCCTGGCGGCTACAGAACCAACCACATCTACACCTGGGTGGACCCCCAAGGACGAAGCATCTCTCCCCCGGTCGGCCTGATCCAGCATCAGAGCAGCTCCCTGGGCAAGGAGAGCGAGAAAAGAAGCCACCTCCAACTTCTGCAAGAAGGCGATGAGAAAAAGGTGAGGACTAGCAGCTCTATTTTCTTTACTGCCGCGCTCGTCTTTAGCGCCGTGACGATTAAGGGATGTGTGAATCGATCCCCTGCTTGCAAACGGATTCAGAACGTCAGCTTAATTTAATGGACTCCTTTGTGCGCAAGAGGCTGTTGAAGACTGGGCTGTTGAGGCTCCAGTTTTGTGGGGAGTGATTGTCATCTTCTCACATTAATACAGTTGCATTTGGACACTTAGAATAGAACGGCAGAGTTGGAAGGGACCTTGGAGGTCTTCTAGTCCAACCCCCTGCCTAGGCAGGAAACCCTACACCACAAATGGTTATTCAACATCTTTTTCAAAACTTCCAGTGTCTGGAGACAAGTTGTCCCACTGATTAATTGTTCTCACAATCACAAAATGTCTCCTTAGCTCTAGGTTGCTTCTCGCCTTGATTAGTTTCCACCCATGGCTTCTTGTTCTGGTGCTTTGGAGAACAGGTTGACCCCTCACTCTTCTTGGTGGCAGCCCCTCAAATTTTGGAAGATTGCGATCGTGTTACCCCCCTAACTCCTTGTATAATTTATAACAATAAATTATACCAAATAAAGAGAATAACGTTGAGTGGTTAGGTGGCCTAGAGGCGGAGCTTTCGCCTCGCAGTCAGGAGGCTGTGAGTTCGATCTTGGGTAGAGGCAGGTATTTCTCCCTCTGGGCACAATGAGAATATATCTGCTGAACAAAACTCCATATTGGTGACCAGAAGGGCATCCGGCCGTTAAAAGGCTCTGCTAGCTCCCTTTAGTTGCCCAGACTGCACCCCGCAAGGGATTATAGGGTCATTAAAAGAAGAGGAAAGAGAATAAAGTTAGTGAAGAATAAAGAATAAAGCGAGTTGGTTGAGCTAGGTTCTTTTAGATCCCCTGTCATCCCGCTGGCTTTCTAAGTGGATGCACAATAGCTTTGAACCCAGGACTGTTCTTTTGAAAAAATGAACTGTTCCCCCTTCCACTTAGGAGAAGGAAAGAGGGTTGGTTTTTCCAGGCTCAGCTGTAATTTAACAACAGCAGGAAGCTGTGCCTACTCCCTCCATCTCGTGTCTCTCTCTAAGCTATGGGGGGGAAAGGAAGTCAGAGCCCAGCGCGAAAACTCCTGTTACAGAAATAGCTTGTCTTACCTTATCCCGAGGGCGGGCATGACACCTTTGACCAATTGCCTCGAGTTCTGCATCAGGGTTGGGCATTTTTCTTCTTTCTCTCTCTGGAAGGGTACAACGGACAGACTCATTAGTGGTTCATTTTAAGAGCCTTCGCCTACTCGAATAAGCTCCCGAGACCTTAATTCCACCTGAGAAGGTTGCTCAGGATTGACGTCAAAGGTCCTTTTCTGTCCTTTATCCCGAGCATAAAATGCAAACGAAAAAAAGAAGAAAAAGAAAAAAAAAACCACGTACGTCCAAGCGACGGCTCTCATTCCCAGAATTAGAAACAGACATTACAATCTTCTGGGTTAAAACTGTGAGGTCTATTCTTAGCCAGGCAAATGACCAAACTCTTTAGAAACAAGACTCTTTTCTCTCTTTTTATCCCTTGGAAAAAAAAAAATAATAATAACTTTGTGAATGTTTCTCTAGTTATGGCCACGGTACTTCGCTTCTTAACTCCATAACAAGCTGCCATTAAAAATTTCTGAGCCGAGTTCTGCTATAAACAGATTTCTTAACCTTCTGTTCGTTGGTAACGTTGGATAGAATAGAATAGAATAGAATAGAATAGAATAGAATAGAATAGAATAGAATAGAATAGAATAGAATAGAATAGAAATCAGAATAGAATAGAATAGAATAGAGTAGAGTAGAGTAGAGTAGAGTAGAGTAGAGTAGAGTAGAGTA